TTTCCCGAAATGATTTTTTAATGATATATTATTTGAATTTGAAGCGTACATAGGTAACGGAATGGCTTTAGCTACGTGTTGCGCCGTAAATGGAATTCGTTGTCAAATGACTTTATTAGACTTCATTTAAACCCTTTTGGAAAGTTGGGAAATTACGATTATCATCCTCTGACTTCAAATGAAGCTTTCAGAAAGATGGGAAGAAATAAATTTTGATTTCGTAAATTTATTAAAGTTGAAGATGTCCAGGTTTCTATGAACCAGTTGATCATCATATCGTTTGTAAAAACGTGGCGAGACAGTAAATCTGAATATGGTATCATATGTGATGCTAACAGGCGTAAGAAAAATAAACAAAATAGGTTAAGGGTTCGGATTATAATTGAGATACTTAACAGACGACAAACAGCAAAAACACAAGTAAGTACAGATCAATCTCCAAATCCAAATTTTGTTTGCCTTAATTTTGTGATGATAAAAATGTGTATTGAACGTCAAATGCATGAGACTGAGAATTGCTGGACAAATCGTTTTCTTTATTGTTTATGTAACATTTTATAAAAGAGATAATCTGACTAAAAAGAAACGGTAAACATCCATAAATTTGTACATCGATAGATATATCGAAAACATTTTACCACACTGTTGTTAACAAAACGAAAGCAGCACGTCATACTAGAATTCTTTTTTGACAATATTGACCATAAATGAAACTGATTGACTGTTTTATGCTTAACATCCAGGTGTAAATACAAAGATCACGGCGGAAATTTGGACTGTTAAAGGGGGAAAAATGTCGGATAAATGCAGAAACAGGAAGGCTCCAGAATTCAAAAGATAGTGACACTCTTTCAACTCAACAAGATTTTCTCTACAAGTAAAAGACGATTTAATTAAAACATGTTAAGCTAGTGACAGAACTAGAAAACGTCCAGACTGCACGGTATATTATCAGAAGAAATTAAGAAAGCTTCATATGAAAATGGGGAAAACCTTTTTTTAAATAGAATGGATTCGTAGATAACAAAATTAATGGATTTATTGCGTCCTAGCTGTCAAAAAAGTCGAATAAAGGCAGCAGTAGTATACCGGTGTTCAAAACTCATAAATCGATTTACAGAAAACAAATCCGGGCTACAAACCAAAACCGAGGGAAACACATCAACTATAAGAGGAAAACAAATGAACAACAGGAACACCGAAGTGCAACAAAAACAAACGCAAACACACATAGAAACGAAATATTTGATAACAACTGCCATATTCCTGACTTGGTACAGGACATTTAAAAAAAAATGGTGGGTTGAACCTGGTTTCATGGCATGCTCCCGCTTCATGACAATGTTAAAACATATCGCTAAAACACTACGTGACAGAAATACAGCACAAACACACGCAAGAACATTCATAACAGAGAAACGCACAGACAAATAATATAATAGTCGACACAACATACAAACCAAAGAACAACAACGAACATATTTTCCATCAACGAAAAACACCACAGGATATCAAAAACAGTGACGCGCTTACGTCGCTTAAGACAACTCAAAGTCTTCTGACCAAAAAACGAAACCGCCTCCATTCCAAAAATAAACAAAAACAAACCTAAGTTTCTTTAAATGAATGAGAGATTAGAAAAAGTTAGAATGATGGTTGATGAGAAACTTGCTGAAACTAACAGGTTTAGATACAAATGACTACGATGCAAATATGCGTACTTTGGTTAATTATGTATTCTTAGCTATGAACTTACAATGATAATAGTCTCGAAATATAAATGAAAAACTGTAGAAGTTTTCTTGGCTTCAATAATTTAGCTATTAAAATTGTCTTTTAGAACTAGAATTTAAGTTAACTGTCAACTTACTATTTTTATATTCAGGATGTTTTATATTTCTATATTTCAAAAGGTAGAAGTGATGTATAATGAAGCCTTATGGTATGAAGAGTCAGTTTGGCACATGTATAAATGTCAATCAAACAGGGTTCCCTTGACCTTGATTTTTTTGCATATTCCAACAATGTTCAGTGATTGAATATTTTTTGGTGATTTATGTGATTAGGTCAGTTTCTCAGATACTATAGGTATTAAATGGATTATGCCAGCTGTTTATGCAAGCTTGAGAGGGATTTTGAATAAGTAGTCCTGAATTAAAAAAAATATTTGGCTATTAAAAAAGAGGGACGAAAGATACCAGAGGGACAGTCAAACCCACAGATGAAAACAAACTGACAACGCCATGGCCAAAAAAAAAAGAGACAAACAGACAAATAATAGTACAGATGACACAACATAGAAAACTAAAGACTAAGCAACACAAACCCCACCAAAAACTGGGGGTGATTTCAGTAAGTTTAATCAAAACTATTTTTACGTTAGAACTTTTAAAAAATATACGCAATTGTCATGTAAAACTTGCAACATGATTTGATTTGATATGATACGGTTATTGACAGAAATCGACTCATTTCAGTTGAGCCAAAATATGCCCAAATATGGCAGTCACATAAACTCCATCGTTGCTTTTAGAAATTGGGTCAAACTGGGTCCAGTTTTCCGACAATATCCATTAAACTCTTTGGGGGGATAATAAAACTGAAAAATCTTGAACAAGTCATGAAAGTTTAATATTCTTTGAATATTTGAAAAGTACATATCAAAATTTACTGTATGCCCAATTCGAGGACGAAGTAAACGGCAAAATGTATAAAAGAGGGACGAAAGATACCAGAGGGACAGCCAAACTCATAGATTGAAAACAAACTGACAACGCCATGGCCCAAAATAAAAAGACAAACAGACAAATAATAGTACAGATGACACAACATAGAAAACTAAAGACTAAGCAACACGAACCCCACCAAAAACTGGGGGTAATCTCAGGTGCTCCGGAAGGGAAAGCAGATCCTGCTCCACATGTGGCACACTGCACTTGTCAGTTTTGTAAATTAGTATGTGTGTAATTTCGGATAATTTAATTAGACTGAAAACTTTACACTGACTAGACCTGTTGTTCTGTAGTAAAGGAAAACTCCAAGGAAAACTCAAATCGGAAAGTCCCCTATCAAATAGCAAAATCAAAAGCTCAAACACATCAAACGAAAGGAAAACAACTGTCACACTCCCGACTTGACACAGGCATTCCCACATGTAGAAAATGGTTGATCAAACCTGGCCTTATAGCTAGCTTAACCTCTCGTTTGCACGACAGTCGCATGATATTCCATTAAATTGACAACAATGTGTGAACAAAACAAACAGACATAATAGTTAAAAATGTCTAAAATAGGGGTACAGCAGTCAACATTGTGTTATAATCTTAATCACTAAAAAAACAAACAAATATGTCAACAAAGAAAAACAAAAAAGCATGAAGGCAAAGCATATAAGCAAAAATGAAAGACAATAATACAAAAAATGACCACAACACATTGGCGGGATACATAAATACCGAGCCACGCCAAATGGATATTACCAAACATTGACTAATCAGTAAAGGTTAATATTTTACAAAGAAAAAAAAGAACACTATAAAACGTTATTAAGATGATAAACAACATCAAGTCCTAGAATATATACTTCAAGACCATCATGTTTTATTTGTGAAGTTGATACGGAATATTTATCAACAAGTTCTTGGTATCTTCCGATGAACTTTTATTTAGAAAAAAAACGAGACGTTCTTTGACAGAACACTGGTTCATCAACTTTCTGCTCAGACACTGGTGACGTTTTATAAAGTCTTGGTATCAGCTTCAAGCTCTTGAATACTGAATTAATTGGGAAATGTATATCTCACATGCAGGTGAAGTTGGTGTATTGCTACTAAGGTGGGAGAAATTGATAATATCAAAATTAAAATCGTCTCGTTTTTCATAGATTCTGGTACTTAGGTGACTGCTTATGTCAAATTCGAGGTATAAGTCTAAAAATGAGGCGGAGGAAGCCGTGTCTGCTGTTTCTTTAATTTCAAGTTCTGGAGGATATATTAATGGAGCCCAATCAGAAAAGATTGGATTATCAATGGAAAGAACATCATCAATATATCTGAATACGAAATTAAATTATCTGGTTTCTTTGATCTTCTTCGTATTAACAAGTGACTCTGACTCATATGAAAATAAGAAAAGGTCGGCAAGGAGAGGCGCACAGTTCAATCCCATAGGAATGCCGACAATTTGAAACTCCAGCATACTGATCACTTGGTCCTCTGTTTAGCATGTTAACCTTTTTGTTCAAAATTACCAAAATATGCCGTATGGTATCCAAGAATTAAACCATTGTGGTGACGTCAGCCTATTCATTTACCGTGGATTCTTTTTCTAGAATCAACGCTTCCTAAATCTGCCGCTGAAATTGACTCACCAAATTATATTCAATTGTTTCCTTTGTGTGCCTAATTTCATTAAGTTTAAATAGGCTAATTTACTGATTTCTGTTCACTAATGGAATTAATTTAAAAACTTACCTTTAATTTTTGTAATTTTTATATGCCTTCACTGGGAATCGAACCCTTCCTTGAAATCTGTTTTGTGTGACTGACATCAACACACCGACGAAACCTCTCGGCTACCAATGGGTTACACTATAGATGTTTATTATATATATTTAAATGAACATCTGATATACATCGGTTCATCGGACACACAGGGCTTGTACCTTTATATAGACACAATAGGCAGTCGTATAGTATGAGTTGGTAGCCGCGAGGTTAGCATGGTTAAAATCAATGAGTTAAAGATCGGGATTTGTCGGTTTAGGTTCGAATCCCTGTATTCTCTTTGTTGTACCAATTCTTAAGTTATCCTAGTTTTTTTTTCTAATTTTGCAAGTTATAGTGGATATTTTTGTAATAATAGCGAGTTTTACCGGGTTTTTTTTTATTATTATTGGCTATTTCACATGTTTGAAACAAAAATGATTACATTCTATTTGTCAATTTTTGTTTTATAAATATAGCATGATTTCATTTGTTTTACTACATAATTTTACAAAGGTTTGTTCGCAAATTCCTATGCGAGAAAATCGTGATGTGCCTAGAGTGCTAGAAAAATTTCGATAACATACTTATTATATATACTTTATATATGCTTTTTGGTCGGGTTGTTGTCTCTTTGGCACGTTCCCCATTTCCATTTTCAATTTTATTAGAAATAATTTTGAATATGTCTTATTTTGTATAAACAGATAATATTCATATGCCTGGTAATATAAAATTCTTTAAAGGTAGAAGTGTTATATTTGTATTTAGTTAACCAATTAATTGTGATCTGAGATTTATCAATGCATCGTTGGACACGATAACATGGTTATTTAAACTCACTTACAATACCTTCTAATTAAGAAAAGGCTTTAATTTTGAAAAGAAATTAACACAATAGTTTAAGCTATAGATACAATGGATAAGCGTAGATTAATGAAAAACAAACCATTCGCCCTCCGGGCTCATGGTTTCTTTTTCAAGAATCCACGCTTATCCATTGTATCTATATAACGTAATAAATGTATACCGTATGCTACCATTTTTATATTGAAAAGCATTGTTAATTATTTCTTTTAAACGATTTTTCAATTTCACATGGGAATGGTGGTATACAGGGTTGAAAAATCACAAGTTTTGAAAGAATTAATTTCAGAGAAAGATCGCAATTTAAAATTATCCAGAAGTTCTTTAGGTTTTTTTTAGAATACACATATAGGTTATGTGGTAATGTACTATTTTATTATTTATTTTTTTTATTACTCTGTCCTGAGTGTTCTTGCGTTTATTTGTACTGTATTCCTGTCACGTAATGTTGTCATTTTAGCGGTATTTAAAACATTTCCATATAAGCGGGAGGTTTGGCTAGCCATAAAACCAGGTTCAATCCACCATTTATTTCTAAAAATGTGCTGTACCAAGTCAGGAATATGGCAGTTGTTATCAAATAATCCGTTTGTATGTATGTTGGCGTTTGTTTTTGTAGCAGTTCAGTGTTTCTGTTGTTCCGTTGTTTTCCTCTTATAGTTGATGTTTCCCTCGGTTTTGGTTTGTTACCCGGATTTGTTTTCGCTTAATCGATTTATGACTTTTGAACAGCGGTATACTACTGTTGTCTTTATTTATGGTTAATACCACCACTACACGAGTAAACAGTTTCACAGTATTTCTGAGGATCCTCTTTCACTGCGGACATAATTTTGGTCAATCTAATGGACAATTCCATTGTAAAACATGCAGATGAGCCGGCAATGTACCGTTGTTTGTAAGGAAATTTGTGAAGCTAAGGTAACCAATACACACAAGGTTAGTCCTCAGATTTGCTGTTCAATGTGATGTTCATTGAAGCCATGTAGGACTTATGAATCGCCAAAATCTCATCCTAGTCAAATGATATGTTTTGTATGAGGGATTAACTTTGTGCTCATTTATTCCTATTTCTTTTACAAGACACTCGTAGTACGATTAACATACAAAGACAATACTATTTGAAACTTTTTCCGCAGGAACAACAACATATTTATCGTGAAGAGATATAACATTTCACAGCTTCTGCGTTACTGAAAACAGACTTTGGTCGATCATTTACACATTTTTTCAACTTACAAAATTCGACGTTTTATCAGAGACCTGACTGTTTTGACCCATTCTGTCCAGTTCAACTTCTTCTCGTTTTGCCCATGCTCTGGCGTAGTCCTCAATCGAATCCATTATTAATTTGAAGTTATGGTTCCAGTTGATGTGTTGGGGTTCTCTGAACTAAGGACCATGAGATATTACCTTTCGGAGATGTTTTAGATCCCCAGTAATAACATGACCAGAGCGCCTGTAAATATAAGGCGAGTGGGAACAGTCACATGTCAGATGTTTTTTTCATGTATTCTTCTAAATCAATATCCTGCAATGCTTGCTTATAGGTTAATACGTTAGGTGCAATGGTTTTGGTGTAAATGTAGGATACAATAGGAACAGACTGATTTTGAAAGTAAGTTAAATTTTAGATGTTACCGCCCTTGTGATGTAGAATGTTGCTGATGTTGATTGCCTCAATTCCTTTATTTGAAAACTGAACTGAAAGAAATTTCCTCTTTTCATCCTGTAAAGGTTCCGATCTTACTGGTTTAAAAAGAAGGAAAAGAGCTACATCACAAATTATACTGCCCATTCTGTATATTGGAGAAAATGTATGTATGCATCCCTTGTCAACAGCCGGACAGCAAATCCCTGATTTGTCCGTTAAAACCCCGGATTCATTATTCGAGAATCAAGAAGAGATGGTTTCTGAGAAAGCCGTCAACAGGTGTCGCGGAAGGCGACCCGGTAGGAAATCGTGAATTTTGTGTAATTTGAAGAAACCAAACGTATCATGAGCGGTTTACATGATATCATAAGCTTTAAAAGTATTTTAAAAATTTAAGAAGTCAAACAAATGTATTGTTGAAAAAGAAATTCAAATCAATAATTTTCAGTCTTCGATACCGCCATTTTTCAACTTCGACTGTCATTGACAAATTTTCAGCTCGGGACGAATTGACACATGCCTGTTTAACCTAGGGAAAACAAATGTAAATGGTTAATTTTGAAAAACCGGAACATGGAGAACAGAACTGGAATGGTCACATGACGTTACCATTCGTTGTTTACATACGAGCACAATTTTAGTGCACACCACAATTTGGTAAGGCCATAAAGGGAGTCCCCTATTACTTATTTCTTGAAACTTCTCTGCTCTTGAACAAAACAGCACAGAAATATGACAAACTTGCCACTAAGGAAAAGACAGTCAACATGTCATTGAAATGAACAAAGTCTGTTATTTTTTTGTGATTTATTTCCCTTTTTCATGCCTCAGTGATGTCTTTCCAGTACACAATTTGTCACAAAATTACAAAAAATGAACAACAGTTGTTCTACATTCTTATAAGTCACACAGATATTCTGAATTCAGCACATTATGCATATGAGAAAATGTACATAAACCTCCTAATAACATCCCTAAAGCAGTGCATTATTTTTTGGGAATGACATGAATTCAGTGTAAAAATCCTTAGATCTGATATATCATAGATAAAAGACAGAGGAAAAACAGTTTGAACAGAGTCAGATCCTTATTTTGTAGCTTACAGATGTAATTTCAAAAGAATGAAGATGATATCACATCATAATATAATATTGTTTGTGCTCATTCTAGCAGTCATTTATTACTTGTTTCATAGATGGTTGCTCAATCTGCATCCAGTTTACCTAAATTAATCTCTATTTATGAATTTTAGTTCATTCTATTTTTACATTTGTTAAGCTGCATGTACATTGTACATGTACCTGCATTTGTCTTTGCTGAGGATTTATTTAAAGGTCAACATGGTATTTTTTTTTAACTCTTCATTATTACACATTTTTCAGTATATGTTATCAGAGATGGTTTTATATGTTTCTGATGGTACAAATTAGACTTAAAAAAGCTTTTCATACTCATTATATAATTATTTATCACACCCCATGGCTCTGTTTTATGTTGTGATTGTTTTTTCAATTTGAGTTCATGCATTATTATCCCCTTAAATTACATATAATTAGTTAAAAAGCTATTTTCAGTTTTTTACAGTATATTAGCATTTTAATTTTATCATGTGTGTGTATAGCATGTTTTGCAATATTTAGTTATTTGATATACATGATTGGGGCTTGAGTTTTAAGTTGACAAATACTTAGTAGCTGTCACACCCAGAATATATCCTGATACTCTTGGCATTGACCATAACTGTTATTGCATATATATGTACACATGTTATATAAAGTAACTTGACATTTCTGTTAGAGACTAAAAGTGCATTTTTTTTATTTCTATACTCAGAAAAACAAGGTGTCTCATTTTTTTTTATCATATTATTAAGTTTTCATCAAATGAAGGACTGGTGGGTTCATGTAATGATAAGAGTTTGAAGTTGTTATTTATTCTTGAAAAATATAAAATTTACTTTATCTTGTTAAATACAGACATGACAACTTAAGAGGACTGTATGGGTATCCATGTTCTATGCCAAGCTTTATATATCATAAGTCCTATTAAGTTCTGAATGATTTTAAAAAAAAACCAGCAAGTTCAAACTACTACATTTTATAATTTTTTTTACAATATAACCCCTTTTCTGAAATGAGACAGGACACAACAAAACACATGACTGCAGGTTTTCAACCACTGTCAGACCAAATGTTAAAATATAGTTAGAATGAAAAACCACTGCAGAGACCAGACAAAGTTCTTCAAAGATTAAATGCAATTCTGACATTAATTTGTTCAGGAAAATATTTTACTTTTTTACTCAGTCTCTAAATACAAAATGAAATAAAGCCCTGAATATATTTTTATTATTTATTATTACACATAGACTTACTTGTTTGGTAAAGCCTTTTTATAGAGTACTTTGATAATTCAATTTAAAATAAACATTGTCATGGGAATGATATCCTATGCTTGTGATCAGAAGTCGCTACATTTCAGTGTTAATCATTAGACCTCACATACATAATTACTTAATTATTGCATATATAAATATATTTAGAATCAAAATAAACATGAAGTTCACAGATATAACTGACATTTGGTCTTAACAGAAATTCTCTAAAAATATTACTCTAGAATAGAATATATAAAACAAAAATGTACATTTCATACCTATAATCTGTATAAAATATATTTTCATGTAGATCTACTAAGAAACAAATCTGTTTCTGAATCACTGAATACTTAATCAAAATGAAGTAGTTATGTGTATTCAAGAATAGAAATTGATTCTTGTAGGAAGATGTTCATTTGTATGATTTGAAACAATTATTTCCATCAAAGTAGGACAAAATAGAGGTAAACATGCAATCAGGGAATATGCTGAAACATTTTCCCCCTTTAACGATGACATTTTTTCACCAAAGTTTGGGGTAAGTATTTTTTCTAATAGTTTACATGTCCAAAACCCATCACTTTATGTAAATATTTTTTACCACATAGGATACTTTTTTGTATTTCTTCTGAAGCTAATTTTGTGTAGTATTCTAGTTCAAAAACAATGTTTGTTTTTTTAAACTTAATGTAATAATATTGGCAATTTCCCTGACTTCTAGATGATTATAAGATATTTTTTTGGAATATTTCAATTGAATAGTGATTTACCAAAGCAGACATACATTCTGTAATATTTTCTCTCACTGTTTAGTCCTGATACCTGACAGGTGCCCTCATTCCAATGATTAATTAAAATTTCAAAGATATTTTTCATATTTCCACGTTTTGCTATCTCATACTGATAAATTATTAGAAATTATACCCCAGAATCACCCTTTCACGTACTAAAATTGAG